ACGATGGAAACTTCCAAATACTGCGAAGACGTTTATGATAAATACAAAAATAACTACAATACTTCATGGACGACCAATTAATACATCATTTTCTGAGGCCATTGTGAAGGATCCCAAAATCTTTGGTGAAATTCGGTTTATGAACTTTGCCTTAGTCAGGAAAACACGTTCAACCTGCAATTCTGAAAGCGCTTAAAAAGCAAACCCATAACACAGTACCGATGCCACTATCATCACGTAATAAAATTCCTAAAAGATATCTTCAAAATATATTGATGAAAACACAAGTCCAAAACGACGGCTCGAATTTAAGAACTCCTTCATTTATTAACTTCAAGGCTTATCCAGTAATTTTTCTTCTTTTACCTAATCAGCTGTATTCAATTATTATGACCGAAATTAACATAAAATGAAAAACTAAACACAAAGATAATAATTGATCTCCAAGGAAACAAATGTAAGACCTAACAACCTGGATACACCAAGCAAGATGTCGTAGATTCGTACATAGGAAAGATGCTCCAGAATGCGGCAACCGGTTATGGCGAGTCATAAGTCTAAGTAATACCATAAATCATCGATTCTATTCCTATCCACTAAGGACCCCAACGGTGATAGACGGCGAAACAATTTTTAATTACACGAAGCAGAAACTGGTCATTGCTTAAAATTACACACAGGTACTTGCAGGAGAAATACCTCACACCACTGGTATGTGCATATACTATTCATAGAACATATTATTATGTCCTGTCGTAAATATTGATCACATTTAGAACTATGTTAATTGAATGCCAAATGAAAATGGAGAAAATCCTGTGTACTTCTGTTCCCCTTTCAGAACCAGATTGCTCAAATTTTTGCAAAACGCAAATGTCCTGGCTTGAAATATTAACGTTATGTAGTAGACCGCCCGGTTCTCTAGAGTTTATGTGTTATTGATCCTACCCGATGAGTATTTGTATGATTGTGTTACAAGTATGTAAGATAAACAGTATGTTATAACTTATATGTTATATGTATATTATGTATTTATTATGTTATATTATGTTAATGTAATGGTTGTGTAACCCTCGAAAAGATGTTATGACCAGCCCTGATTGTTCTGTATGATATGCTATGTTAAGAGTAAAGTAATATGTGATACTGTATTATGTTATGACCAATAGCACATTCTTGATACTTTTGTTTTATTTAATGACCAGATGGAGTCATAGGTCTGTATAAACATCCTGTAAAGAGACAACTTTCGCGACTGCTTCAGCCGATCAATGCGTTTCATACGAGACTTTAGGCTTCCTAAAGCTAAATATTTTCATACTTATAGGGGGCATTTCACGACGTATACTTATATTTTTTATTCCAAAGCGTCCACTTGAATATATGCTTCATCTGTTAAGTGACCATTTATGGGGGGAAGATTCAGTTCAAAATTTTGACTTAGGAAATTTCTTCTTTTTTTAATGTGAAATCTGATCCCCGAGAAAAATAGTAATTGACTAGCAAATGTCCTTTTAATGTCCTTTTAATGTTTTAGGATTCCTCAATCTGGAACACTCATGCTATGGATTTTTTTTAAATTTTCTTTTGTACAAAACTCTCAATATTGTCTTAAAAATGATATTCATAAATATGACTTCCATAATCATCAGATATATTAAAAATATTACAATAACCTTTTACAAAGTAAATGAGAGGTATTGAATGTGGAATACCCTTCCTACAAAATATGCCATTAGAGATATTACAGTATGCGTTAAGACCTGCAGGGGTCAATAATTTTATATTGGTAGAAATTTGGCAGAAATAATTAAATAGCCCAAGATATATCCGTATTTTAGATTTTTACATAATTGGAATGCAAAAGTACATCATTAATTTATCAAAAAGTACATCACTTTCAAGTATAACTACTGGCATCTGTAGGAGCAATAATTCACAACTTACTATCATGGCAATAAAATATTCAAAACCTCAATGAAAAAAAACTCAACAACATTTATTGTTAAATTTATTTTCATTTCTAAGAATTATTTCAAATTCAAGTCAGCAGGTGCAGTATCATAACTAGTTGTTAATACGAATATTCTTCCATGGAACATTAGGTTTACAGAGTGGAATGAAATGGTCTGCAAAAAACATATAAGAACCAATGCCCTGTGTAAAAAGTGAGTAACGGTTTGAAAGAAGGAGTAAATTACAGCGATTGTATCGCATCACTCAATGAGCTCTCTGCCATAACCGTAACATCCAAAGTGCGAAAAATATCTCCAGGGTGTTCGCTGAAGAGTGTAATCATTGTTGTTATAGATCCAGTATATTCAGTCCATTATTTACATTCATTCCACTGAGTGTTCTCTTTTTATATGGTCGGAGCATGAAACTTCAAGCTCTGGTATTTTCACAAGACAGAGAATAGAATCTCCAGAAAGCATAATTTAATTTTTGGATACTTTAATTATCTTTTATTAAAATTATTCCAAAACGTTAGAAGTCCAATAACATTTTTAAGAAAGACCCATCCCAGAAGTACGATTATTGATTTAATGATAAAAATTTTGAACACAAAATCAGTGCAGCATTCAACTGATTCTGACTTCAGAACAAAACATTACAACAAATAGAATATTTAAAAAAATACTTTTACGGTAAAACAGTAAAAACGTGTTTGACACTTACTACATAAATAAAATGATAAATATAAAGATAAAATTTATATTTAATTCCGTAAGTAAGGTCAGGAACAATATCAACAATATACATACGAGTCAAGATGAGTTTCTGTTTGAAATTGTAAAAAAAATTGTATCCGCCGGTGCATCGTCATCTGGACATTCATAAAATTCCTGAATATATTTCAGTAATACCGACGTATAATTTTGAAAATATCGTGTATCTTTTCAAATTCATTATGACCAGGAAAAAATATCCTGCAACGCGAATTTCCCGTTCCCTGGATTCGGAAAAGGAAATGGGAGCTGTTGTAGGTCGGTCATGTCTTTTGACTTTCACTAATGATGACAACTTGAGGAAAACATCATGAAGATAACTCTACATCTGCGTAAATTGCAGAGCGCCGGGCATCCTGGAATGTAGGAAACAAGTCGCTGTCGTATGAGGAGCATTAGTGCAGAACGCACAGGAAACTACTGAAGGTAATACTATCCGGTGGTAACGTCATCTTTCAATAAATATCGCGTGTGTCCCATTTTCTTCGATTATTACATACTTCAACGCCTCGTGAAAACATCTGAATGATCATAATTGAAATATTACGTAAGTCTCTCAACATCTGTGTCCCTTCAGGGAAACTTAGGACACATGTTGGTTCAAAAACATTTATGAAATTATACTGGCAATTTCTGACGTCCACTTTTAATTCAACAACTCTGTTAAAACATACTTTAGAATATAATAACACTAAATATTTAAAACTACTTTTTCTTTCAATCAAATAAAAATTAAGGATTTTGCAGATACGCCTTGATGGTTACATATATTTTCTTAAAACCTCTGAAAAATGTATTATTACTGTGCAGACTTTTTAGGAGAAGGTAACAGCAAGTGGTGTCACTTTGTTTCAATAACAGGAACAGTGGAGTTGAAACTAATAATGGTTCGTAAAAGAAGCATTTTTATAGAAAGAAAACTATATTAAGGGTGCAAATTGCCTAGTTCCTATGGTGTTTACAAAAATCTCTCTTACTATAAATTTATGTTCTCGTTTTAAATGGATAGGTAAAAAGATGTCATCTGTCAAAAATCATTACACCACAAAAAATGCATTTTTCAGCAATTTATTAAAATGTTACAATCTCAAAAAAAATATGTCAAAGATATTTTCCCATTTTCACAGCTCCCTATCAGAGACTACATAAAGGAAACAGGATAAATAACGTATGTAGAATCTTTGACAAAATGTTCTATTTACCTATCCATACGGATTTCCACAAAACATCTGCGGTAACCACCGATTTTACTCGTTAAAAATTTGCCCGGACAGATCCCCGTTCAATTGGTGACCGTCGGTACCTTTCCTACGAGCGATTCAGCATCCAACAAGCTCAAATATACTACATAGAATGCCTAAAGCGCCTCCATCTTTGCAGCAAATTGAAGTCATGTGTTTTGTAGTCAAAGCAGCGCGCTCTGAAAAAATAGAAGAGTATCTTAGTTTTCGTTTGGCGTTGTTTGACGCCAGGTGGACGCGGGCCGTGCGTAATATAAATGCTCTTACTCTGTGTTTCACGACCAAAAAACCAATCATTTAAAAACGGAATGACAATATAAAAGGAGAACAAATTCAGAAACTTCAAAAACACTTGCTTCCTGCAACGGTCTATGCTTCTTAAAAAAATGTAAAATATGAAAATGTTATTATAGTTAGCATAATAACCTGAAGGTGAATGTTTATTGCTCAAATAAGCATAAACAAACGGTATTAGAAATAAGTCAGCGCAAATAATTATTACTAAATTCCAATGTATTTGTGTTTGGAGACTTTCATTATTTCTACAGCATATGCCGTACATACTAAGCAATTGGTCGAAGAATATAATTATGTGTTTCACCAGTTAATATTATCTTAAATGGGAGATAACGCAAAACCAACAATATAGAAATAAGACTGATACCAAACAACACGGCACATCTTTTTCTGCCAAAAAAATACAAGTGCCGTCCTGTCTCAGTGACCAAGCCACCTGACAAAGCCATAGGGCAAAGCCACTCTAGCGTGGAGTAGTGTATTCTAGCTCGTTGTCGGCATCACTACAGCTATATGCCGTAATAACTAGAAGGGCATTGTCAATACTTAATTCATTTCACCCAGTAATAGTTACTTTAAATCGGAATAACAACGCCAAAGACGAACGATTATAGGAAATAAGATTCTGATACAAACAAACACGAGCACCATCTTTCGCCCAAAAACATGGCGCTGTCCTTCGTCTGCTTCAGTGACCAAGGCCACTGAAGCAGTGAGGGCAAGCCACTCATACGTCAGTATATTCTACGCTCGTATGTCGCTCGGCATCCCAGTCTCGCCGAGCGCTATAGAGCGTCCTCCACACGTGGCGTTGGCCATTGCGCTCATTCCGCATTTGAACGGCGGCGGGCGGCGGCGAATATACAAAAGCGCCGCTCCGCCTCGCGCTCGCCTCGCCTCGCCTCGCCTCGCCTCGCCTCGCCTCGCTCCGGCCCGCTCGCTCCGCGCCGCCGGGCGAGCCTTCTTCCCCCGGCGGGGTCGCCGGCCCAGTTCGAACTCCGGCGCGGGGCCACTGACCCAACACCACCGCCGCCGCCGCCATTTGTATGTAAATGCTCAGAAATCGGGAGCGGGCGCAGTGACAACGGCGCAAATTTCGTTCGGGGGCCGGCCGGCACGAAACGAGCAGGCGCACGGTGGGTAGCTGTGGGGGCGGGGCAATGCCAGGTATCATGAGCGCGTGGGTTACTGTGCGGGGAATACGACCCGAAGCGTGGGGAGGGCTATTTACGAATATCAGCCGAACACTATTCTTCAGTTCCAGACCTATCTTCGATAGAGACGGCCATTACACGTCCCTGAATGAGGCCTTCCGTCTGGTTCGTCTGAGAGTTGACGCCTAACTGGCTGAACTGTATTTTTAATTCAAATCAATTACAAGTAACGATGTTAGATTCTCATTTACTGCGGATGCTTTTCATTCGAATTACGAGGGAAACTAAACTGCTAAGAAATTGAGAGCGGACCCAGTGGCAACGAGCCAGCTTTCGACCACGGGCAGGCCGGTTGGTGGAGGGGAGGGGGGGGACGCAGGAAGGCGAGTGGGTGTGTGGGTGGGTAAATATGGGCGTGAACTCTTGCGTGGATTGATTTGCGCGGTCACAAAAATGTTGGGAACATGGAAGAGGAATTATTTGCGACTATCACTCAGTTTTTATTGTCCAATCCTCGATTTCTGTCGGTTACTTTAGTACCCTTAAAGCCCCTTTTTTCTGTCTGATCCTTGTGATGTTTGACTCGTCTGAACCTCCCCCCCCCCCAAAAAAAAAGAAACATGGATAGTGTTTAATGTAAATATGTCACCAAATATTTTTATAGGATTCCCATACACAGCGCTTCCATTTTATTCAAATTCAGAGCTAAATAAAATGACCCCAGTAGGGAATAGAAGCGAAGTGATCGGTCTAATTTTAGATCAAAAGGCGACTGGAGTATTTTTGGAATGATAGTGTAAGGAGTACGACTAGGGGAACGTGTAGGATGGAAGCGGACAAAATTCTGGGGACAATCCAAATGAATCATTTGGAACATTGATAATCATTGCCCTATCCGGGACCAACTCCCAGGCTTTCTTTCTTAAAATGGAGGCTTGGTTTTTCTTTTATATCTTTCAAATCCTGAGCTATTTCGGAGTGAACCATTATAAATAGTGTAACAGAGTTTTAATTTTTTTCAAAAATGCAAGACATTTTATGAAGTTCTCTATAAATACAAATTATGTTTTTTCATTAATATGTATATTTTATGAATTTGAGATTAAGTGTATCATATTATACACTTTTATCTTCATTACTTTTGCTTGTTACACACTTCTGTAAAATCTGAATATTTAATTATTATTATATTTGCATATGAATTTTTTGAATCATTAAAAAGTGCACTCTGTTTCTTTCTACATTGAGTAGGAGAGTGGGCATCGAATTACACACGACAATTGAGCAAACGTTGCGGAGAAAAATGAATTTGCAATAGGGCTCGTGAGTAAGAGGAAGATAAACAAACATAATAAATGTCTGGAAAAATGAGTGAATTGGAGGAATGTAAATGTATTTCTGAGTAGAAGAGTTTTGAATTTTAAGAGAATGGGCACACTTTTGTAAGAAGGGCTTGCGACTTACCAAGCTTAACATAATGAGTTAGCGCCATATTAGAAACAAGTGTGTGAATGAAGTCTTTTGGTCCTACGTATGTTTTTGTAAACTGATATTAAGACACGTATTTATAGTTCGTCAGAAAGGTGACCGCTCGTGGTATCAAATAGGCATGTGGATGTCTGTCTTAAGCGTTTTAAAAATCTTGTTCAGGCAAGAGTTCGCAGACGGATGTGTGTGCCCATTAAAGAGAGAGCAGGATGTGCGTAGGTTTTTAGTGTTCGAGTATTCGGATGCCGTACGGAATTTCAGGGTGCGGAGAAGATTATGAGCTTCAGAGCTCTTGGTTAAGTAGGAGATTCGCTCGTCGGAAATTAAAGTGGGAAGAGCATTTGATATAAGAACGTTTGGCCTAATACGTGTGCTTCCAGCCAGAGGGCGTTTACGAGAAATGGGTTTCCAGTTCGGGAACACGGCAAAAAAAGGAATGTGAATGTATTATTATTATTATTATTATTATTATTATTATTATTATTATTATTATTATTATTATTATTAATAATAATATTAATATTAATATTGCCAATATCAGATATTCGAAATTGCTAAGGCAGTAGTGCCATGGTGATCACTGACGGAAGGATGGCAAGTTTGAGTCTCACCTAAAGCATGAGTGTATATGTGAATGTCTGTACATGGGTGCCGTCCATTCATTATCATTATTCCATTTTCCATCCCCCCATAACTACCAACTCTGGTGGATAAAAATAGGATTTATTATAATGCTGATCTCCCAAAGAGGAGTCACACACATTTCTCACGGGACAAATGTTACTGACTTTTGGTAAGCGCAGGTATATGTCCGCGTGGTCCTAGGCAGCCAATTCGTGACCATAAATAATAATGATAATAGTAATAATAATAATAATAATAATAAGTATTTATTCTTGGTCTTCGGTTTCAAATTGTGACGACAATCAGAAGTCAGAATTAGATAATTAATAGTATACATGATACTATAATTACATAATTATTACATGATATAATACAAAACAACTACACAATGTTAACAAATCCTAACAATCACAAATATAATAACTAGTCATAAAATGTCGATTCAGAAAATAATTACAATACATTATCATGTCAATTTTCATTGTTTTCTTTAGTCAACTGATTTCAGTATCATTATCAATGTGTTGGTGCGAGCGTACGAGAGCGTGTATGGGCGAGAGCTTGGGCGAGGATTTCGCCGACATTGTGAGCGAGGGCATTCGGGAGATAGTGGCAGTTAAGGAGAACGCCTAACCCTCGAGTACTCACGCGGGTTACAGGTTTAGCCCAACTAATTTTATATTTACTGGCGCGAAATTTCTACCGAGTTTAGAGCAGTGGAAGTTTAAGTAGCTTCAGATAGCATGTTACTCTTGTCATCCACTCCGCTTCTGAATTTTTCATTGCTAGTACAAGCATATTGTTGTCAGATAGTTTTAAACTTGGACTGCGGTTGTAGCCCGCAGAAGCATTACTGTATTTGGTAATTCAATTGGCAAACATTTGATGCGTTGGGGGAACGGGTAAGAAGTGAGGGGTAACTTTGTTATATCAGACGTGTGAGGATGCCTTTAGAGAACGTTTGGCAAACGAATTGGAATAAGGCTTCGATGTACGTGGGGGTGAGCGTTCGCGCTATAGTTGCCGCGCATTTTCGGGAGCGCGGTTAGGCAAAAGGAAAAAGAGAAGGTGGTTTATATAGCAGGACACTCGGGAAGAAAGAATTTCTTGCGGTGAGTGAGCGGACAAGGTTTCGTCGGGTGGGAGGGAGTGCGGGCGGGTAAGGGAGCGTCGGCGAACGAGTACGGAGCGTAACTGACCATTCAGCGAGCACCACGCGATCTCGTAAGCAAGCATTTCAGCGAGCGTTTGAGCGAACGAGTCTGGGCAATTACAGCGCCTTTGGATGACGATGGGGCAAAGTTAACGAATCGCGTTTGTGGACAAGTCGCAGTTAAGCTAACATTTAGGATAAGGTTTTTATGTTTCGGTGCGGGAGACATTTTGGGCAAAGTTTGAAAACATTTTACGGGGAGATATTTCATGGTTTGAGCACAGCGCGGACGAGGAGATGCCTACTAGTTGGCGTGTGAGACAGCTCGAGCACTCGCTGCGACGAGCCATTGGAGAGAGGGCGGAGGTAAAGGTTGTCTATGGAGGGTGGAACAAGCTTTTCAACAAGCGTTCAGAGAATATTTGGCTGCTTATGCTCTAATGCAGATCTGCTATTAAGTTATGGTAATCTATGTAAAATTAATAATAATAATAATAATAATAATAATAATAATAATAATAATAATAATAATTTGGGAAACATCCTGGTGGCAGTTCTCCGCAAGTACATCAAGTAATACATTTAAATTTCATGTAAGTTATACGTTCAATTAAGTTCATTAAAACCCCCTTTTTTTACAAATTATGACTAATACTAAATTAATACAAAATTTGAATGCTCTAGTCTAACATATGCACAATTATTAGTATTTTTAACTTATGTTTTTTTTAATTTATTTTTGAATTTTCCTACACTCTGAGGTAAAGTCTCTAGCAGCACTGCAGGTAATTCGTTCCAGTTTTTTATTGTCCGGTTAACAAAAGAAACTTTTCCAATGCCTGTTTTTTGCTTTCTCCCCATAATTTTGCAATTGTGGTCTTGACGACTATTGTATGATGATTTTAAGAGTCGCTTCTGAATATCCTTCCAAGCTGGTTTGCCTTTGTAGGCTCTGAAGAGAGCACGCAGTCTAGCTGTTTTCGGACGTTTCTGCAAGGATTTCCACATGCGACTATTTGCATTTATTTTCCTCGTAATACAAATTTTTCCGTAACTGTTTGAATTTTATTTAAAGTATGTACTTTTCCTACACGGTATGGATCCCAACAAACTGAACCGTATTCAAGAATAGGTCGAACTAGCGACGTGTTCGCAAGTTTCCGCGATTCAGCACTCCTTCGCCTAAGAATTCTCATCACGAAATGCAGAGCTTTCCTTGCATTTCTGGCCACATACTTCACTTGTTCGGCCCATCCTAAGTGTTTGTTACTGTTAATTCCTGAACATTTAATATTGCTTACCTTGGGTATAGATTGAATATATAAAAAATGGATTGAATAGATAAAAAATAAAACTGTTTTAAAAAGCAAACATGATAGGTAAGCGTTGGGACATTGGGAAGCATTTGGTTGGAGTTATTCACGCAGACACACTTTCTTACAACAGTAGTCTCGAATTTTCTACCCACCGTACAAGCTCAAGGAAAACGAGCTGGCGGGCTGTGCCAGGGCACTCAGCGGTCAAAGATTCGGGGTGGCGACGCGGGCAAGCGGGCGAGCCTTGGGCGGACGAGCGGGTGGACGAACGCGCGGGCGATTGGTTAATGCGCAGGGGCGTTAAGGG